ATTCACTGTCATAGTTTATACCTGTAAGTGAGAACGTTTATTTTTACATTAGTGAAGTCGTTTGTGAAAACGTTAGTGAATTCGTTAGTGTTGTAAAATATATGTTAACGGTTTTGTAAAGTGTCAAATTCACATATAATGGGTAAGGAGGCGCGCAGTGCCTCAGTACCCTTGATATGTATACTAACTACAAACAACTTCGCCTCATTCGTTCGGTCAAAGATGACATGTACCAAATGCAAAATATAATGAATGCTCTTCGTTCTACAAAGCAAGCATATCATTGGTTTGAAAACCAACAGACAAAAGAACTTTTAGAAGAATTTCCTCATATGATTGCTTCCCTCGGAAAACCGAGAGAAGAGATTCCGTACGAAAATCGCAAGAATTTGGCTCCTGGTTTGAAAGGATATTATGTTCATAGACTTTTAGTAAATGCTGTAGCAATGTGGGCTTCACCTCGTTATGCTTGTTATATTTTCATGATGTTAGATGAACTATATAAAGCAGAACGTGGAGAGATGGAAAAGAAACTTCAAGCAAAAGATGAAGTCATTGAATCCAAAGACAAAAGCATACAGAAAAGAATACCGCGTTCAGTACCAAAAGGAAAGGAAAAGAGTTATAAGTATATGATATATACTGAAGAGTTGGAGAAAGAAGAAGATAAAGATATGGTTATGTTGCATTTAGTCAGAAGAAACAACAAGAGCTTTTATGACTTAGCTAAAATATATAAATCTGACAGAAACTGGTTCTATCGTGAAAACTTACCGATTTCAATGACACCGAATGAGCAAATAAAGGAAATTGTCAAAAATACTCTTCCTCAAACACACTATGACATCAAAGGTTGCACAATACTTACATTCAAAGAAGACTTAACATTACTGAAGGAAAAAATAACAGAATATTTCGATAACTTCAAAGAGGAAGAATAAAAAAATCTAAGCTAATTTTATTTTTTTTATAAAATTTTATCTCATATGAAAGAACATGAATTTAGAATATTCGGAACTCATGACAGAAGAAGAGAACGAACAACATGTAAAAGATTATGCAAAATTTCTGAAGACATACAAAGCATTTAAACAATATCTAAATGCTTCTAAAGATTATGCAAAATTTCTGAAGGTATATAAAGCTTATGAAAAAGCGTATGAAAAGTTTATACATTGGGGAATTGTTGTAAAATATCCATATGAAGACTAACCAAAATATATTTTTGCTTAAATAGCTTCAGGGTCTATTTCTTCAACCATTTCACTTCCTTCGTCAATGTCAATAGAAGCTTCTTCAACCTTTGGTAAGAACTTTTGTATAACATCTTTGTTCGTTATTGTCTTCAGAGATGAAGGATAATATTTCACAGATGTTTCACCCTTCTTATATTCTTTCTGTTCGGAAAGATTTAAAGTAATACTGAAGAAGTCAATATTAGAGTTCTTTATAACAGTATAATGAGTATCTTTGACATTCACGAAGAAACTCTTTTGTTTCAAAACTACTGCTAACTCTTGTGAAGTATAACGTTTGCGGTCAATGACGATAGCTAATGGTCTGACATACTGACCAAACTTAGATTCTTTCACAAACTTCTTGTTAAAGATAACATTAACATTTGAAGCATTATTGAACTCATTCTTGATGGCAGTAGCGAGAGCATTGTATGAAAAGAACTTGCAATCTTGCATGTGTTTCATTAAAATAAAAATATTAAATTATTTTGAAAAATAACTTAAAAAAATCTAATCTAATTTTTTCAAAAAAATATTTTTTTATTTCCTACTAAAGATGTATCGGAAAGTTGTCTAAGTTAGAACACTTGGAAATAAAACAACTTCTTACAGAAGCTAATATAGATGTTGCAAAGCATTACGCAACAACAAAAAAGCACTCGCTGACATCCTCAATGACTATAATGGTGCAATAAGTTTATGATAGAATTCATGAGTTCATAAAGCCGCAACGTGGCGAGGACGAAGTCCATACAAGAGCATTTCCTTTAAATGACGTTGCTATTGACTTATATCATAGACGTTCAGTACCTCATGAAGTAAGAAGAGAAATGTTTGAAAACATAACAAATGCAAACGTTGGTGAAACAAGAAGAAGAGACGACACACTGAAACAACAGAGAAGAGAGATGTTTAAAAGTGCTATAGAACAAGTTCGCAAAGCTAGCGATGTCATTCGTTCCATTGACGACAAAACCAAAGAAGGTGAGAGATGGTTAAAGAAAGATGAAGAGAATAGGAAGAGAAATGTGAAGTCAGGCAATAGACTCATTGACTTTAACATCGAAGCTTTAGATGAACCAAACAGAGAATATTTACACAAACATTTCGGTAAGGTTTTCATAAGACTCTTAGAGAAGATTAAAATAAACTCCCAACAAAGATGGATGGTATGTTATAAACTTGGTGGAAAGTATGAATGTTCTACGTTAAACCTCAATAATATTGGAACATTACTACATCAGCTCTTGAAGGAGAACTTTATATCAGAGATAGAAGCAAATGCCGCAGGTATTGTTGAAATGCACTATGACTTTCTTCTTGACAAACATAAAGAATCTTACTGAAATAAAGATGTATGATTTAACAGAATATGAAGGCTTAACGATGTCAGATGTAAAGAAAGGCAAACCAAAAAGAGACCATATAAGAGATGAAAGCACACTGACAAATGACCAGAAAGCCATTTTGGAACTCTTAAGCAAACAGGAAACCCAGCACTTATAGAAAGCTTTTGGAAAGATAATGGTGAAAGAAGTTTTATAGAAGAGAAGCGGTCAGTTCTGGAAGTATCTTTGCACATTAACCTATAAATCTTGAACGCTACCAAATCTTCAATGAACTGAACAAAAGAACTGCAACACTTATGACAGAAGATAACTGCTTCGTTTATGCTTGCATTCAGGCTGGAGTAAATGAAGAAACTATTGACCACATGAGAGAAGTCATTCGTGTTAGAGACTTTCCTCAAAGTAAAGTACAAGAAATTTCTGACGCAACAGGTATAGCATTTAATGTTACCATTGGTTATTTCAATGACTCAAGACATAATGAAATAAAGAGATATATACCAAAAGAATGTGAAAACTGTTCGAACTATTGACTTACTTCTTGTTGAAGACCACTACATGCTAAATGAAAGATTACCAATGACAACATATTTCGTCAGAAATTACAAAGAAATTCTCAAAGCTTGTGGTGGAATGAACATTGAGAAACAGATGAAGATTTATACAAAGAGAAGAAGATAAATATGTAGTTCGTTATGATAGAACAACACCGTTATGGGATGTTATGAAAACATTGTGGGAGTGCAAATATTTCGAACCTATTTCTTATGGAGAACTTTTCACATATACGACTGAACTTATATAAACAGAACCTTGCACCATTTAAAGATTTGACATATGCTCCAAAGTATTGTGTACAACTGAAGAAGAAAGCCGAGTCAAAAGAAGTAAATAAAAATAAGTGCAAGTTCATTCCTGAGCATGTTTTCTTTGCTGACTTTGAGTGCAGTACCGATGGCTTTCATAAAGCTTTTAACATATGTTACGACAGTGAAGATGGTTCAGTGAGTGAAAGCATTTGGGGTCAGAATTGTGCAACAGAATTTTTGGAACGACTTCCTGACAAGAGTTTAATATATTTCCATAACCTCAGTTATGATATAAACTTCATCTAAGAACATGACAGAAGTAAAAGGAACTCCCATCATTAAAGGTTCACGAACAATGCAAATAACTGCTTATATAAAGAAGGGCAATTATTATAAAAGACTCTTACAGTGTATAAAATAAGAAGCTTAAACTATTTCCTGCTATGTTTAACTTACAAACAGGACCGAAAGAAGTATTTCCATACACTACTACAGCAGTGTTTTGTTAGCAAATGACAACAGAACTGGTGTCATTTCTGAAGCATGTAAGTTTGTCAAGGATGCAGATACATTCATGAAAAACATAGATTCCATCAAAGGTTGCAGAATAGATGAAAACCATTTCGATTTAGAAAAGTATAGCACATTTTATTGCAAACAAGATGTAAGAATTTTAAGAGAAGGTTTTGTTAAGTTCCGCAATGACATATTAAAAGAATTTGATTTAAACGTTTATGACTACGTTAGTATTTGTTCAATTGCTAACAAATTATTTGAGAACAGAGTGTACTTCCCGAATGGAAATTTATATGACCTCTCAAATAAACCAAGAGAATTTATTTCGAGATGCATTCAAGGTGGAAGATGTATGTTGTCAGATAACATGAAACAAAAGAGCGAAAAAGAAACTCATTGCTGACTTCGACGCTGTTTCATTATATCCATCAGCTATAGCAAGACTTTATACTTTAGAAGGAATTCCAAAGGTTATGAAGGATGAGATGCTAAGCACAGAGTATCTCATGAGACATTTATTCGATGACGACCAAAAGGAACCCATTGGTGAAAAGTTTATGTCTGGCTTCTTTGTTCTCATTAAGATAACAGAGATTGGAATACATAGACACTTTCCTTTAATAGTTTGTGACCCTGAACTAAATCCAGAACTTAACGTTCCCAGAAGTTCAAACACTTGCTGTTTAATGTATGTTGACCATATAACATTACAAGACCTCATAAAATATCAAGGTGTCAAATGTGAAGTGTTGCAAGGATACTATTACGATGGAAACAGAGATATTAGAATAAGAGATGAAGTAAAGAAGTTGTTTGAGTTAAGGTTAAAGTATAAGAAAGAAGGAAATCCTTTGCAAGAAAATATAAAGCTCATTCTGAACAGTATTTATGACAAAACTATTCTATCTCCTATTGAGTCAAAAATAACCATAGTAGATGACAAAGATGCTATAAGATATACCATCAGAAACTACAACCATATAGTGAAGTTCGAAGGTTTGGATGGTTCAGATAAAACTATTTTCAAGCTAACGAAAAGCATTTGCAGACACTTTAACTTCTGTCCACTTGGTGTTAACATTCTGTCTATGTCGAAGAGAATAATGTGTGAAGTATTCTGTACTGCTGAGGACTTAGGAATGGACATCTTTTATAGCGATACCGACAGTATGCATCTCTACAATGAAGATATCCCTCGTTTAGCTGAAGAGTTTGAGAAACGTTATGGAAGAGTTCTCATTGGTAAAAACCTTGGTCAATTTCATAGCGACTTTGCAGAAATCACAAAAGATAAACAAAGTTTAGCATACAAGTCAATATTTTGTGGAAAGAAGACTTACATAGACTTACTCACGAATGATTTAAATGAAGTTGCATTTCACTGCAGAATGAAAGGCGTGAAGCAAGATGTTATTGCTTTAACCGCTAATGAAATGTTTCCTGACTCTGTTCAGTGTTTCTATGATGAAGATAAAGGTTTAATGGTTCCGCAAGGAAAATTTGACAAAGACTCTGAGTTCAGTGTTATGAAGTTATATAAAGCACTTTATGACGGTCAAGAGATTGGATTTGACTTATGTAAGTCTTCTAGTCCTTGCTTTGCTGAAAAGTTTAACTTCTCAATAACGACTAAAACAAGCTTTATTCGTAAGTTGAAGTTCTGAGGTCATTTATTTTTGTCAGCAATGAGGTCATGAATGAGGTCATGAATGAGGTCATGAATGAGGTCAGCAATGAGGTCATGAATGAGGTCATTTATTTTTGTCAGCAATGAGGTCATTCGTGATAAAAATAAAGCTAGCGTAGATTTTACAATACTGCGATGGTAGAGTTTAAGAGTTGTGCTTCAATGTAGAGACAGTCCTTCCCATCTGGAGGCAAGAACACTGGACATTTATGGTCGTGAGTTGAGTACATGTCTATCCAAAACTCACGATTGAAGCCAGTTAATTTATAGTATTTAGGATTTGGTAATGGTGAATTTCTTGTATGACCAATGAACTCATTTTCAACTCCATTACTTAAGTTTGAATATAATATAGCTTGCTTTCTATCCCAAATGCCAGGTGTTACAATCTTTGAAAATTCATTTTTCCTCGGAAGCATTGCATCATAATTGAAAACATTCTTGAAATCATCACTTGGTTCAGAAATTTGAAATCTTATACGTAATGGATTTTCTTTCTCTTTAGCGACTTCATTGAATGGTGAGAATACAACAAACTGACAGTCATGTGTTCCATCTTCATTTTCATTAAATTCATAATGAAAGTCTATAAGTTGTGGCTGACTACCTTCTTCTTTCAGTTGTGCAAGAAACTCACGTAAAGGCTGTAAAGTTTGTACTTCAATGTTGAACTTTTTCTCGAACATCTCATTAAATGAAATCATACATTGCAACAATGTTGTATCGTCTTTAAAGTATTTGTATATGTGAATGTTTTGGGCGCTTAAAGACTGTTCGTCATTTTCTATCTCGACTTGAAGTATAAAGTCAACCTTTCTGAAAGCACGTGTTATATACATAGATGTTATGCCAATGTACTTCTCTTCATTTATGTTCACAATCCAGTCTGTTGGAAACTTAAACGTTACTCTGTTCCCCTTTATTTTGACGTCAGGGTTTTCACTACTGAACGCAACAGATAAAGGTATTTGTCTATACATTTAGTTCGATAAAAATAAACCATTTACTCTTTCTTTGCTTCAGCTTCTTTAGCTTTTGCTTCAGCTTCTTCTCTAGCTTTCTTCGCCAGCAAACGTGGGTTCTTTTGTCTTCCAGCAGCTAATGCAGCAAGTTGTTTTTCACTAAGTTTTCTCTTTGGTCTCTCTGGCTTTTGTTCCTTCAGTTCGGATAAAATTTGCTCACGAATTTCTTTCTTCAATGCTTCAACATCTATGACCCCTTGGGTCTTGTCCGTAGGGCTTGTCTGAGTCATTTGACTGCAGATAAAAAATAAAATTAAAACTTTAACCGATGTAAAATGAGCTTGTCAAAATCAGAGCGAGAGTCTATTATATTAAATGACGCAAGAGGAATACAACATCCTTTCTATTACGTAAGTCAGAGTAAAGATGGTAAAATATACGTAAGAAAAAGAAAGGTTCCATTAGCGAATGCAGAAAGCGACAACATTAAGGTGCATGGCAAGGGTGAAGTCCACGAAGCCCATATAAAACCTTCTATTCAAACTGAAAAGTCAATAGAACCAGAAGAAAAGAAGCCAGATGTTCTTTCAATAACGAACCAAGAGCTTATTGCAAAGTTCGTGAATTTCATCGAAAAGCAAACCGAGTCAAAGAACCCTGACCCACCAGTGAAAGAAGTTGAGACAAAAGAGAATGTACAGTTCATTGAAAATGTCAAGAAACAACTTCCACCACGAATGCCAAGAAGAAGAGTGAGAATAATGAAGTAAATAGATATTTTTATCTGAAGTAAATACATGCAGAACGAACAGCTAAACGAATTTACTCCAGCAGAGCATATTCATCAGATTCGCTCATATTTCGATATCATAGACAATGCAGTTCAAATTGGTGACACTAATAGAAAATATTCTGACGCAAAGATTCCATCACAACCTGGAACTGCTAAAGATAACACATGGGTAACATTCAATCTCTCACCTCCTGGTGAAATATGTTGGACCTTTACAATACATTCATTACGTATAAAATGGAAGGTCAATTTATTGTAGATAAAGAAATTGGTTCAGGTTCCAATAAAACAAACCCACCAGGATTTTGGATTGGTTTCGATGACGCTTTCTATGCAGTTGCTGGATATCAAATCCTTGCAAATGGTCGTATCGTATATTCTCAAGACAACGCAAGAGAAGAAGCATATATAACTTCAAACTCACAAACTACCGAACAAATAAAGAAAGTAGATGTTTTCTCAAAGACTCGACATGAAGATGTATGGAGTCATTCGGGAACATGCAGAACAGGACAAATTGTTAGTGGTCCAATTACAGCAGGAAAATCATTTGATTTTAAGCTTCGTTTAAGAATTCCTGTTAGAAAGTTTTTACCATTAGAAGCTATTCGATTTATTCCAGCTTTTGCAGGAAACATTCAGCTTAAAGTAAAGTTCAGTAGCGACGCCTTACAATGCACATCTATATCTGTAAATGATATCATTGCTTTCAATCCAACTCTTAAAGTTGCATTTGCTTCAGATTCAAATCCACCGACAAATAAATTTGTTCCATGGAATGAACCATTCACTATGATAACGAAGGCAATAGAAGCTAGTGGAACAGTTACTATTACAACTGTAACCCAGCAACTATTTCGAACAAAGATGGATTTTAATGAATGTTTCATTCATCCAAAGTCATTCTCTTTAGACCCTAACATTTATACAGAACTTGTAGAACATTATACAAACGAGGCTTTATGTTTTCCTGTTAAAGTTATGGATTGGATTCCTATGGACGGTTCATTCTCAAAGAATACAGATAGTTCAAGTGCAACATTTACAGCAGCTTATACGCCTATTAATGTTAAAAGTATTTGGGCACTATTTAGAAAGAAAGACAACTATTATGTTAATTTTGAGAACCCTAAGTTTAAAAAATCTTCAGCTTTCCATGGGAGCTTATGGAAATATGCCTGCAGAACCTGAAAAATCATATGGACCTGTATTTTATGAAATGGTTGCGAACGCTTGCAATACAAACAATGATATGATAGGATTTAATGAAGATGTTATGAGGTCATTGGTGGATGATGGTAGTGTGGAACATAAATGGGATAGCTATGACAACACACATTTCTTATGTGGTTTTCCAACTGAAGTGGACTTTTGCTTCCAGCAAGGTCAAACATCTACTGCTCCAATAACATACAAATTGTTTGTTAAAGGACCTATTGAACTAGCAACTGAAAATGTACCAAAGCCACTTATTGGATTTATGAGGGATTGTTGCTTTGCCATTCAGGTGCGTGCTAATGGAATCCCAATAATAAGATTAGATGACTATAACTTAGCTGCGGACGACAGTGAGGAATAAAGGATGAACGTTTATTTTAAAGCTTATAAATGAGTTCTTCATCAAGCTCTCGTGAACCTTCACCATCTATGAAACAAACTTTACCAAACGATTATGGAGCACCTATTGAATATTTCTTACGAGCTGCACAATGGCAAAGAGCAGTCTCACCAAGGTTAGGTGTTCCACCAGCTCCTGTCAAAAATAGCATTTGGTCAAGTCCTTATATAAGATATGGTCTCCCACTAGGTTTGCTAGCTACAGCAGGAGCAGTTATGATGTTGAAAAGAAATAAAGCAAATGTTGTAAATAATACTGAAGTAGCTGAAGTTAAACAAACTCCAACACCTTCGCCAAAACCAACGTCAAAACCAACGCCTTCACAAGCAAACCTTCAATGACTCCTGAACCTATGGAAGTACAAACTCCTGTTCAAAAGTCAACTCCTAAACCGACTCCAACATTTAAACCAGAACCTACTCCTCAAATAAATCGTAAAACTCCTGCGTTTCCTTACTGAAAAAATAACGTTATTTTTATTTAATATTAAAATTTTTATTGATTGAAATGACGACTAAAGTCACTGAAGCAATGAAACAAAAGTTTTTGGTAGAATACATTAAATCAGGAACTATTCCAGAAGGTTTTTACATTCATACTATGAAGGATGGTAGAGTTCAGTTTAGAAAGATAAAGCAACCATTAGATAAAGAAGGAATTTTGAGAAAGATTAAACTTCATGAGGACAACATTGCTGAACTTAAGAAGAAGTTAGAAGAGTTGGAGAAAGGAAGAGAGTTATAAAGCAATGAATTCAACAGGGTGAAAAAAGAGGTGAAAAAAGAGGTGAGATTTCACCACTTCACCTAAATTTATTTTTGTGCTATGTTTTCATATGTGTGAGGGTGGTGATATCATTAATTTTTAAGTTTATTTTTTTAAAATTATTTTTTATTTTATTTTTATATAAATGACGAAAACTATTGAGATAACAAACTACAACGGTCATGAGTTCAAGAATTTGTTCTTCGTTCCTCGTGAAAATACATTCTATCAGATACGAGGGAGAAAGGGTAAAGTTAGTTTGAGCGTTTATGAAGGAATGAAGAATGGAAAGTTTATACAAGCATACGATACAAACGGTAAGCGTGTTTCATTAGCTTTGTCAAAACTTACTAACATTTATTTTGACAGTGACTTTGACTCTGACGATTGGAGCGACAGCAGCGATACTGAAGAATATGAACTATTGTGTGAAGCACAGCAATGGGAAGAGTTGCAATACTTTTGTAAGTGAGAACGTTTATTTTTACAGTAGTGAAGTCGTTTGTGAAAACGTTAGTGAGGTGAAGTGGTTGGCGGCTTTATAAATATTTAAGGTTAAGTTGGTGTTTGTGTTTGTATTGTAAAATATACGCTAACGGTTTTGTAAAGTGTCAAATTCACATATAATGGGTAAGGAGGCTCGCAGTGCCTCCGTACACATGATATGTATACTAACTAAAGTGCCGTTGGACATACACATTCTATATCTGATATTACAAACTTACAAGAAACCTTAAACAGGAAAAGTGACATTGGACATACACATACCATTGCAAATATTACAAACTTACAAGAAACCTTAAACAGGAAAAGTGACATTGGACATACACATACCATTG